ATTATATTATATTTGAATCTTATATAAAAATTTGTAAAAAATTAATTGCATATATTACAATAAATTAGGCTTATGGCATAGGTTAGAAAATTTCATTATCTAAATAGAGGTAGTAATTATTTTTTAAAAAGCTTATCTAAGGGCATAGGATAAGAAGTAATAATTGGATAATTATTATAGTGTTTTTATCTTTAAAATAGTAAAATTGATTTTTGTTTTAATTGCAAACGTCATGTATTAATTTTTTATTCATTTATTTTGAAATTAAGATTAGAATTTATTTTTTAATTTAAAATTTTATATCTTTTAAAAAAATTAATAATTAAATGTTAAAGACACAAAATAGACTAATCCTTAAAAAGTAAAGTTATTTTTTATTAGTTCAAATTTTATGAAAAACACTGTAAGAGGAAGTAAGCAACACACTGAATTTATTAAAATCAAATCACAAGAAGCTATCTTACGCTATTACCTGACCTCTTTGTCTCTTTGTCTCCATCCCCTTATATTTCGTTTTCTGGGTTACTTTCTTTTTACCCTAATAATCCAACTTAATTTTATTGCTTTGGATCCTCCATTCCCCTAACTTTACCCTTCCCCCTCTTTAAATTGGAAGTCTTCCCACACTTAGCACCACCAGGAAAGAAACAGAGAGAAAACATAGTGCAATTTGAAAACCCTCTAAGTCTCAGGCCAATCTTCAACAATGGAGGTAATTAGTTCATATACTAAAGTACATTCTTTTCTTTGTTCATCTTTGGTTGAATTCTCCATCTGAGTTTCTGGTTTTTTTTTTTTCTGTTAAGGGTATGTATATAACCCTAATCTCTGTTTCTGGGTCTCTGTTTTTTTCGTGGGTGCTTACAGGATTATTACTTCAAGAGGAGTCATGTGCCGGCGTTCGGAAGCTGGGATTGGAACGACGACCTGTCTTTTACTCAGTGTTTCGAGTCAGCGAGACAGGCGGGGTTGCTCCGGTACAGCTACTCTGAGGACCGTGATTTGTATGTTGCCGGCGATCTCTATGAGAACGATGTCGTCACTCCTGCCATGATCGTTGTACCTCGCCGACGGGTAAAAAAAATCAGCAACCCCTTTTCTCTTTTTAAGCAAAATCCTCTATGCATGTGAATTAGACTGAAAAAAGCACTGAAGTCAGTGCTTTCTCCTTTCTAAAGATAAAGCATTGAATCTTCACCTTGATTCATTAGAAGAAAAATGGAGAAAAAAAAGAGGGGTTGGGGGGGGGGGTGGAATTGCAAAAAAAGAGAAAGTTCATCAATAGACTTGGAAAGAGAAGTAAAGTTGCTTAACCTAAAAATAAAATAAAGCAAGCATGCACTTCTAAAATTTCACGTTCTTTTTCTTTTCTTTTTTTTTTAGTAAATAGTCATAATTAGAACGAATTTTTAGAATTAAATTTTAGGATGAACTTTAGTAGGCATTGATAATGGCGTGGGTGTTATACCAACCTACATGACCAAATTATTAAAATGATTTTGGTTTAAAAATTTTTTTTAATAAAGAAGAATGTGGGGGGTGGGAGAGAATAAAAAAATAAAAAGGTGTTATATAATTTGTATTATTATAAACTACATAAATTATTGAATGAAAATAATTTTTTAATATTATAGTGTTTTTCTTTAACAATTTTTATTTTATAATATAATATAATTTAAATTATAAAATAAAATCTTATAAAAAATAAAAGAAATTTATTTATTTTAAGTAAAGTATCTTTAACACCTATCAAAAATTATTTAACATCCTCATGAGAACGCAGCCGTACAAGGGCATGCTCAGGTTCAGTGGTTTTAAAATTTGGTCTCAAGAAAATGGTACTCTTTTGTGTTCTTTTCATTAGTTCCTAAATGACAGATTATGGTAAAGACTGAACGGCATTTTCTCCCAAAAATCCTCTGTAATGGCCTTTAATAACTACAATAAGGCAGGTTGCATAGGATTATGCCTCCAAGCTTTGGGTATGTAACTTGTATGTATATCATGATCATCAATCACCATGATGGTCTGACTTCTTTGGGGCCAAAATCATGATGGGGTGATGGGTTTTTATGTTTTTGATGGATGGTGATGATGATAATGCAGACAAAGGTGCGTCAGGAGCATGGGAAAGAGAAAGAAGGAAAAAAACAGAGTAAATGGGAGGAACTGCCCAGCCCACCCACCCCTCCCCGTACCAGGCCCGCACCCAAGCCTGTCGATGAAGACCTCTACAAAATTTCTCCTGAGCTCCTTTATGCCAAACCCAGAAAGGTAATCCACCTGTATATTTCTATCTGAATTAGCTGAAGAAATGTTAACTCGGGTTAAAAATGACTAAAATATTATTAATGAATTTTTGAGAAGCCTTAATTTTTATTATTTTAAGTTTAAATTAGCATTTTTTAACTTTTTGGGGCTAAAAAGACAGTTTCTTAAGTTTTTTGAAAACAAAATACCAAAATAATTAATTATTAATAAAAGAGCAAGTTTTTAATACCAAAGAGTTTTCACTTTTTTTATTAATAATTAAGTGAATTGCAGTCTACTCACTTAACTCTTCTGTTTATAAAATTAGAGTCCTTAAAAAAGCTAATTGAATTGAGTTTGAGTTTTTACATTCCGAAATTACACTGCTAACCTCAAAATTATTCTAACAACTTTTATCTTTTCGGTTTATTTGGCTGCAGAAAAGAGGATTAGGGTTCTTCTCAAGCTGCTTGGGGCCAGCTTGTGCAATGTGAAGAGGAGAAAAAGACTATATAAAACATGTGGACCAAGTACATATATTATGACTTAAGAAGAATACAATGATATTATGTGTTATTGGGTTCAAGAGGATTAGTATTACCATAGTTATTATAGTCATTATGCATGTATGGGCTGTTTTGCCATATTTTGGTTGGGCAAATCTTTTGGGGACTTATTTGCCTATTATTTGGAAAATTTATTTGTGTTTACCGTTTGGATGGTAGGAATGGAAACAGTACTGTTCTGTACTGTTTAGAAAGCCGTGCATATTCCCTTTCATCCTGAAAAGAAAATTTTGCTTTTATAGCGTTTAATAGACAGCGCAGATTCATGGGTCATCACGTGAAATAGCAGAGAAAAGATTCTTGGGTAGGTTAAAAAAAATCTCATTTTAAATACTACCCGCTCCCCAACTTAGGGTGTGGATATTGCCACCTTAAGAAAATATTTTGGCCATTTAAATATTTTTTTTATTTTTTAAATAGCTATGGTTATATGGTATTTAGATATTTTAATTTATTGATTAATTTTATTTTATTAATTAATAAATATAAATTATCTTTTAATTGTCAAGTAATAACTTATCTATTTTAAACAATTAAATTAAATAAAATTAACATTTTAAAAATAAATATTAAAAAAATGAGTGCCCTAACACTTTTATATTTTGTAATAACTATACCTTCAATTCAACAGAAAAGAACAGATTTTGAACAGCAGGGGAAAAGGGCTAATGGGGAAATGAAGGGAGGTACAGTGTTGACTTGTGAAGTTGGAAATTGCAGAAACAGAACAGCTTTCAATTCAATTTATGTCTGCCTCACGGGTCTTCACCTAATTCTCGCATGAATTGGGTGAAAATGTCCCCCGCTCTTCTTTTCTGCCATTTCCTTTCCCATTAAAATTTCTTTTTCCTAAAGTAGGACTAATAAGACATGATGTGGAGAAAAGAAGAAAGCAAGGTTTGAAGGAAAAGAAATATAACAAGATAATGCAAAGGGACAAGAAAACAAAGAGAAAGTCCTAAAAGCAAGCACTCATTGTTCTCCATTTTCATTTCACTTTTGCATTCTTTACAAGGGCACAGTGCGTCTTTCATTATTATTAAAGCTTGGATGGAGTTAACATTTCGGATTTTTTTTTTTCGTTTGCAATAAAATTTCCCTGATACTTGACAGTATGAATAACACATGAAATTAATTTATTATTAATAATGCTTGTTTTTTATTTTTAATATATCAAATAATAAATTATATAATAAAAATAACTCTTTAAAATTTCTTAAGATTCAAACTTAAAATTTCAATCATAATTTAAATTTTTAATCACTGAAATATTTTCTAAGAAACATTAATAATGTTTGTTGATAACATCATAAAATAGTAGTTTTAAAGTTCTTTTAACTTAATAGGATTCCAAATGCATCAACTCATTTGTTATCAGGTTGTTGTCAACAAAAGTCAATAAATATTATCAATGAATCCGTTATGGAAAAGCAAACAGGACCAAGTAAATTCTCCCAGATTTGGAATTTGGGAAAACTTTGACTAGATAATTCAAATTTCCACCAACCCTGGCTGAAATAAAACCTTGGAGTTATCAGTATAATGGTGAAAAAAACAGTACTGAATTTCCCTTACTTTCCACTAAATTGTTCCAATAGATGAAGAGAGAACAATTCAAATTGCCTACCGTTTCAATTCCATATAGCCTTGGCAGTGAGGGATCATAACACTCTAAAAGTTGGGATTTTTTACAACAGAGAAATGTTGCTTTAGATACATACAGAGATGCTGTGAATGGAAAAGGCGGGGGAAATCCAGTAACATGGTATGGTATCATGAAACTTGTAATGCCCTAACACGAGCTGTTAATTCCCTAACTTGATTCCTCAGGAGTTCAGGATTAGAAAAGAAGTATACAAAAACCCGCCTTTGAAGCCCGACCTCTTGAGAATGATGTTTTAC